CCCCATCTTCCTTCCAAGGAGTGGCTGGTGGGTTTGAACCGCCAGCCTTCTGGTTAGCAGTCAAGTGCCTTAGGCACTACACTACCAGAGCTCCCAATATTCATTTAGCACTGTCTAAAAGATACATAGGAGCTGGGGGACACAAACATTCTTATTACCAGAGAGATATATAACACTGGGTTGGGGGAGGGGTGTAAGGGGGTAGATATATTGCCTTCTCAAAACGCCAATATTCCTAAACTCATGCACCTTTGCCTGTTTCCATGCTCTGACTTCTATACTTTGGCTTTAAATCAAGAAAGGGGCATCCTAGCATCATAGGCAACATAAGTCAATCACCTAAGATTCTAAATGTTGTATGTCATCAAAGATCCTGATAACCACTGGGAATAAAATTTAAGTTTTTTAACCTACAAAACTAGCCCCTGGATTTATTAATTAAATTACTACTAAGTTAAAAGAGATATTACTTAGATAAGGAACTCTGGTGGTGTACCGGTTAAGGCATTTGGCTGCTAACCAGGTTGGCAGTTCAACCCCACCAGCTGCTCAATGGAAGGAAGATGGGGCAATCTACTTCTGTAAAGATTTACAGGCTCAGAAACCCAATGGGGGTTGCTATGAGTCAGAATCGACTTGATGGGAGTGAGTTTGGTTTTTTGGTATTACTTAGATGGCTAACTGGCATCTTTCTCTAACAATTTTGTATGGAAAAAAAAGTTTAATTTTTTTTTTTAATATGCAGTAGACATTGTACAAAAAACATATTTTTAAATAAATTATTTCTAACAACCAGAAATTTGAATTACATTTTAGATATTTTCTCACTTACCTTTTTCTTTGTCCACTCTAATGACAACCACGCATTCATTCCTGCCAATTCGGATGAGTTTGTTTATAGAACGGATACGCCTTCTGGACAATTCACTAAGAAGAATCATGCCTTCAATGTTGTTGTATTCCAGCAAGCTGACATAAGCCCCCATTTCAGCAATGGATCTTACATTCACCATTACTACATCTTCTACCTCAGGAAATTTGTGTTGATAAAATCTACAACTTAAACCCGGCATTCTGCAATTTAAACAAAAGAATCAAATATATATTCAGTTATGATTAAAGAAAAAAGGCAATTTTCCACATCTTGCCATTGGAAGGAAATAAAAGATAAAGGAAAACATAGTTTATTAGTCTTCTCGCTTCTTTAAATTTCTTAAATGATACCTGAAAAGAGATAAATGTTCAAATACAGAATTCATGAAATCGTTATCAGTTTCACACAATCTTTATTCTGAGTAACATCTAATAAGCTCCCTCAAGAACTAAGCTTTAATTTTTATTTTGTTCCACATTTTTTGTAAGGATTGGGTGATTCTCTGCTACTACTTTCAAGGCATCATAAAAATAATGACCATCTATAAAGTACTCAGTGACTTAAGGATTAAAGGTACACTCAAGGATAAAATATTACTTTAATAACACCACTTTAAGGAATACCAAATGATGGGAAGCATCACTCACTACTATTATAAACCCATCAGCAAAACTAAGCCACTCTAAGTCAGCTAAGAATAATCCCTTTTTCCTCTCAGTCTAACCATCATTTATTATGGCCAAATTATAATTACAGTATCACAGGTCATGGAGATAAAACCTAAACATTTATTAATCAAAACAGATATTAAATGTAACTAAAAATGCACCCTCCTTTCTTATTTTCCGGAGCTCTGGTGGCATAGTGCCAAAGGCATTTGACTGCTAACCAGAGGCTGGTGGTTCGACCTACCAACCACTCCTCGGAAGGTCGGACAATCTACTTCTGTAGTGGTACTGCCTCGGAAACCGAAGGAGGGGGTCGTGATGAGTTGGACCCGACTCGACAGCAGTTGAGTTTGGTTTTGGTTTGGTATCTTATTTTCCTCCTTTTCAAAGAAACTTGAATTTGGTTCACAATTACCATAATTTCTAGTTACTACCTTTTCCATTGCTCCCAAATGTTTTTTTTGTTGTCATGTGCCAAGTCGTCTCCGACTCATAGTGACCTTATGTACAACAGAAGAGAACAAATAGGTTGAACAGGAGTACCTAATCTTGAATATAGCTTTACAGATCTCCATTACTGTACGTTTCTCTTAACTTTCAAGTATTAAATATCTTTGAAATTATACCCTTTGATCCACCCAAGCTACTTCAGTACCATTCTTTTTCTACATCAGTGGTTCTCAAATTTGTTTAGATAGTGGAGCATCTAGAAGTCATTATTCTTCAACAAACATTAAATGTTTTCTATTAATTCCATTACTATGACCCACAAGCCTGAAATCACCATCGATAGATGTATATTTTACAAAAAGGAAGTTCTTAAGCTAATCATGGCTTAGTATTTTCACATTCTTCTGTTAACCTTCACCTAGTTACAGCTGTCAGTGTTCAGAAGATAACTAGTAATTGGAACTAAAGACCAAAGAAAAATTGTGAATATTCATTAAATAATTTATTTTGCTTGCTAATAGAGAAATAAGGTTACTGTTACCTGTCTTAGTGATAGAACATCCACATCCAGCTTATGGAACACCAGAGTTCGTCTGTCTTTAGTACAATCTGAGAATTAGCTTCTCAGATTATCTTCCCAGGGGTTTCCCATTGACTTACACATCCACTATCTACAGGACCCTATATAATTTGGCCACGGTCCATTTCTGCAAGATACCACTTTCCTCCTAGTTCTCTCCCATTTATAGATGAAGAAACAGAAACACAGATTAAATAATTTATTCATATATTGCTAACAAGTGACAGAGCCAGGATTTCACCTGTGCAGTTTGGATCCAGAGTCTGCACTCCTTCTATCAGGTGACACTTGGTTAGTATTATCAACAAATATATTACAATTAGAAATACCTTACTTAAGTAAAAAAGCCACATTAACACACATCTTTGAAGTGCTGGGTCACGCCACAGATCAGTGCCAACTATTACGACTAGTACTAATCTCTTCTATTTAACAAATCAACAAAAGCAATGTATTAACAACAGTGGCAGAGATTTATTTCTCTTGTAGTTTAACAAATAGGGATTTAGCAAATAAAGGGAACCAGACATTCAATGGCCAAATTATCCACCAAAAACAGCTGAGTCAATTTTTTTTTCCTATTGATGTCTGTACGTATTCAAATTTGAGAAACAAAAATTTTCAAACTAGCTTTCAAAATAAGTAAGATGGAAACATATGTAAGCATGAAAGTTCCAAGCTTTTCCTTGGGGGGGGGGTCCAATCAGGAGAAAACCAAGACTTCCCTCACTTTTCTTCATGAAAATGTCTCTTGTTTAATTAAATTAAAGCATCATAAGTTTTGGAAATAACTAAAGGGACCTGAGACTGAACACGTATTTAACCTGAAAGTATTCTTACTTTCAGTTGTGCTTAAACATACAACCACAGTGTATGTTTCTATAGTTCTCCTCTCACTATTTCCTTAACACGGCAAACAGAGTAATCAACTCCTCAGTAGTATTAGTTTCAATTCAAGGAGTGACGCAGTCTACAGAAATGCACAAAGCAGTATGAGGATTTTCAACAACCAATGGTCAACTATTATAAACAATTCTTGGATCCTCATTTCCTTAACCTTTGCAACATGGTGATTCAGTACACTAATGGTTCCTTGAAATGTCCGGTCTGGTTTCCATTTAGAAACCATTTTCGTAAGTATTGCTGGGGCGGAAGAAAAAAAGAGATGGAATTCTCAGGCCCGGAAAAAGCTGAGCTGGGTCCTAGGGCGGGGGCGGAGGAGGGGGTGACAGAGCATTCTCCTGAGGCTGCCCCACCTCAAGGGATCCTCACTTTAAGCATATTGGAGAGACTGGGCCGTTCACCTGACCCACTTTCTATTACGAAGTTCCTCCGCTCGAACAACGATACCTCTGAAACACGGAAAGACTGCCTCGGAACCGGTGAGAAAGCCTCCTGCACAGCCGGCTGTGTTCGGATACTTCCCGCTTAGAGAAGGGAAAGGGAGGAAGTCATATAGTCTGGGTCCCACCCTCTCGACCACCCGTCACTGGCCACAAACCAAACTAAGTTATTGGAGAAAGAGGATTAGTCACCTGAGGTATGTGTGTGAATCCCGCACCGGGGTCTCGTGTCGCACTCTTTGATCGGAAAGACCAGGCTTGCTTCACCAGCACCAGCCGCCGATCTTCAACGTGCGCTTCGCCTGGCTACACTGCGCATGCGGAACCAACACGCAAGCGCCTACAGCGTAGAGGCCCTTCTTCATTACTGACCATAGAGTTCAGATCCTCCTAGTACTGGCAAGAGTGTGGATCACAGAAAGAAGGGAAAAATGCGCTTTTTCGCTATCTATATATTTCACTAAGTAACCTGCAAGCCTCGAAGAAGAGGTACGACTCTGACTCTTTGTCCCTGACGAATGAATTCTTTCTCAAAACTTTAGTTAACCATGAGGTGGCGCTGTGAAAAAACATGAAAAGTGGTAGAAGAAAAGGAGTGTCCTCTTAACAACTATGCTTTCTCCGGGCTCGTGTAGAGCCGGGCGCAGCCGCCGGAGAGTTGAAGGGGTGGGGCTGGCAGGAGAGACAGAATTGAGGGGCGGTTCCGCGGTGCGACAGACTCAACATCCGGGCATTAGCCACCCCCCCCTCTTCCTCTTGCTAACAGGAAACGGAAGTGGAGTGCGTAACCAGCTGCCTCTTAGCAACGCTAGGGGTCAAGTGACCGAACCAGCCGACTCTGGTAGGGGAGGGTAGTGTGGCTGCGAAAACTGGAACTTGTGTAGCCACGATTGCCCGGCTGGGGACTCGAGCCGAACAGTCATCGTCAGAATGTCGGGCAAAGACCGAATTGAGATCTTTCCCTCGCGAATGTAAGTAAAAGAATGGGAAGAGCGACACTCGGAGGATTAGGAAGTCCGGAGCACGGTCCCTTCATATTCTGGACCAGCAGCGAGGTTCCTTGTTTTCTGGGCCCATTGTGAGCTGTCTCCCAGGCTCTTTTCGTGAGTGTGGGTCGAGGCTCTTTTGACGGCCTCACACCGATTCCTCGGAGTGAACCAGACTGGACAGGACGATTCCAGCCCGTAGGAACAGATGCCTGGTGGCTTTTGTGGAGGCGCGCTGCCTCTGCGTATTGGTCGTCATTCATTCCACATACCCTTATTGAGGCCTACTATGTACCAGTAGCTCTATGGTAGCTCTATGGTAGCATAGTGGCTAAGACACTTGCCTGCTAACCAGACGGCTGGCGGTTCAAACCCACCAGCCACTCCTCGGAAGGAAGGTTGGGCAATCCTACTTCCGTAGTGATACTGCCTCGGAAACCCAAGGAGGGGTCGCTATGAGTCGGGTTTGACGACGGCACATAACAACAACAACATGTACCAGTGGTTCGCAAGGAAGATTGGGCAATCTACTTCTGTAGTGATACCGCCTCGGAAACCCAAGGAGGGGTCGCTATGAGTCGGATCCGACTGGACAGCAGTGGTTTTGGTGTGGTTTGGTTTGTGTACCAGTGGGAGCTCTGGTGGCGTAGTGTAGTGCCTAAGGCATTTGACTGCTAACCAGAAGGCTGGCAGTTCAAACCCACCAGCTACTCTTCGGAAGGAAGGTTGGGCAATCTACTTACGTAGTGATTCTGCCTCGGAAACCCAAGGAGGGGTTACTAGGAGTCGGATCCGACTCCTCGGCAGTGGGTTTGGTTTGTTTTATTATGTACGAGTCCCTGCGCTGGGCACTGGGTTTATGCAGTCGAACCGTTGCCACCCCTGACCTAACAGAGCTTACAGTTTAGTGGAGAGACACGCAAGAAAATAAGGTTTGATAAATACTCTGAGAAGTTTAATGCAGTGGAAAACACATAGAGAACAGCCTTATTGGAATTGAATGCAAGCACTGTACCATGGCCATCAGATTATATCTTGGATCTCTTGTTCGTTTTCCTGGACCCAGTCAAATGTCACTTGCAGTGGGAAGATATCCCTCATTTTCCGAGGCACTTCTTTTGTGCTGTCACCACTGTACCTTGCTCATACCTCTGAATATTATCCGTTTGTTAATATATCCATTATAAAAGGTTGGTTGTTAACATTTCTTTGTCTTGCATTGGACTGTGAGCTTTCTCCAGGTTGAGAGAGTGTCTTGATTATGAACCCACGGCAGATCCAGAAAAAGGTCCTTGAACAAATGGATGCCTTGGAATGTTCAGCTGTGGTGCTGTTGTTCTCTTTTGGCCTGAATTCTTTGACAGGAGAAATAGCATAGCATTCTAGATGTCTGACCAGTTGGTTAAGAAAACGTTGAATTTTTCTGAAATGTGCCTCAAAACCTATGGAGAGTAAAAATTATTTATTCTTTTCTTTCCTCCCCTTCTGTTTTTCAGAGTGGAAGCAAAAATCAGTTTTTGGTACTGGCATTTAGATCTTTAGTGATCCTGCTCTTTGGAGTTTTCTTTTGTTTTTCTCATCTTGTATTTTTCTCAAAGAATCTGAGGACACTTAAAAATTATATTCGAATCTTAAACCCAGGTTTCTAACTTGGCCAGGGTAGCTATACCTTTTAATGAAATGAAATGTTTTATTTTTCAGCTGCACTTGCTGACTTTCTAATAGTTGGGAAGCAAACTAGTTGTGGAGAAAGGTAATTTCTGTGAAATAGATAAGAATTAAGACTACCCTGTGGTTGTCAGGATGCTCACATTTATTGTTTTTACTTTGTTTAGTACAAACAAAAGTGAAATACACTTGTGTGGGCTTAGACAAGGAAAATGATAGGTTTATGAAGGTGAAAATTGCTGATTGAGAGGAAAATCAAATGCAGGAAGTAATCACGTCTCTAAATATTTTTCTCAAGGCCTGACATATAGTCAGATGTTTCTGATTCAACTGGAAACAAAGCCATCATCTTCGCTGAAGGTCATACTTTCTTTCATAGCATTAGCAGCTCTGAAACAGATGTGGGCTAGAAAATATACTGGGGTCTATTGTTCCATAGACACTTCCACTTAAAGTATCCTGCAAAGTGGAACTGTTAACCCTACTTACGTGCCAGAGAAAGCAAACCAAATTTAGAGGAGAACCAAAAGAGCTTGCAGGATGTGGAGTCTGCAAATATCAGTCAAATCCAGGTTTTACTACAGAGCTACCCATAAGCCTTTGGGTAGCGTCTCAAAAATTCAAATTTGCCTACTTCACAGCGGTACTGTTACCTCAGAGGAAATTGAAATTGGTGTGTACAATTTAATATCTTAGCTGTCAGTTCACTTTTATACTGTTAAGTTGCTGGAATCTGCAGTACTAGGGTTTGACTTAATTTGATCCAAGTCTTCTGAGCCCAAATTTTGGTGGTTAGTGTCAACAGTAAATATACACATTGGAGCAGATAGTTCCTGCTCAGGCTGAAATCTAAACCAGCTTCATTTGGTGAGACCTCCAATGAGGCCAGTCAGTACAAAGTCAGCCACTGAAACTTGGATCTTTCAAAGAAAGAACCTTCATTCGTTGCTACTTAAAATCTCTAAGGAGAGGCAGTGTGGCATAAGGTTAGGGTACAGTGTACTCAAGTTTGAGCCTTAGGCAGTTCACTGGAGTTAGAAGTCTATCTTACCGTTTCCTGTCCTGTCTTTTCTTCACAGAACGACCATGGAAAAGCTGTTTCACCTTTTTAAGGCTCATTTTCCTGATCTTTAAGACAATGTCTGGAGTCTCTTTGATACATAAAATCTACAAAATCGTCTCAGTAACCTTAACCTGATAGTAAGAGATTTCAGTATAATAGAATTTAGCCAAAAGACCCATAAATACATGCTATTTTATCCCACCCAGTGTATGAAATTATGTACTCTTTAACAAGTCACTTTAAGTGCCTAGGTTGTACGATCTTTTGTTGAATTTTATTATGCAAGTACTTTTTTTTAATTACTGAATTTTATCTGACATAAGGCCTCAAGAACAGAAATGTCAATTTTGGCTGCTGTTTTCTTGACTTTGGTATTGGGTCTTCTGATGGGAAAAGATTGAATTGGGTATTGATTGATGATGTCAAAACATATTAATGCTACACTTTTAAAAGAAAAAATAATAAGTGTGGTATAAACTTCAAATCATACAAAAGAGTATAATAGTAAAAAGCAAATCTCATTTTTTTCATCTAGCCTCATTTTCCAAAGGTAGCCACTGTTACCAGTCTCTGTGACTCCTTTCTAGAACTATTTCTGCATTATATTAGCACATTTAATCCTTCCTTTGCAGAAATGAGAGCACTGTAGATACTGTTCTGCTCCTTGAAATAAAGTATAGGGAGATTCTTCCATATGTGTACATGTATATCTTTCTTTTTTTTTTTTTTTAACAGCTGGTTATCATTCTTTTGTATGGTGTACCATGATTTATTTAAAATTTAGTTTATTGCATACCTTTGTTGTTACATGGAAGGCTGGAATTTTTATCCTCATCTTTGTACATGCTTTGCATATGCATAGGAGTTAAGTCTGTAGGATAAATTTCTCAAAGTGGAATTGCTGGTCTGAAGGTAAATCTGTTTCAGATTTACATGTTAATGGACAGTTTTTTTTTTTTTTTAAATCTTTAGAAACATCTATAGTGGAAACTGAAAAAATATTTTAACTTACAAAAGCAAGTTAGTATTTAAACTATTGCTGGCATCATAAAATAGGGTTCCTGATAACTTATAATTTAATAAACGTATGTTCTAGATTTGATTAAAGAATTGTTTCTATTTGAAATAAATTTGTCATCTACTAAACATTCAGGGAGGAAAAGTACAGTATTGAAAAACCAAAAAAAATTAGAAGAAAAACCAACTAAACTGTCAGCTGCAAATGCTATATATTCTCACTTTCATGGCATCAAAGAATAAAGCATATTTTAATGCTATGTTGGGGAGGTATTTTGTTTCTTTTAAACAGTGGGGAGAAATGTTTCTTGACTCTGTTTTATAGGGCACAGACCATCATGAAGGCTCGATTGAAAGGAGCACAGACAGGCCGAAACCTCCTGAAGAAAAAATCTGATGCCTTGACTCTTCGATTTCGACAGATCCTGAAGAAGATAATAGAGGTATTATGAATGTTGCCCAAAACAGTACTTATTTTAGAACTATCTGAGGAAAGTCTGGCTTGGACCTTGGTGTTTTAAATTCTTCTGTAAGTTATTATAATTATTTTTTCTTTCAAAACTAAAATTACCTCTATTATTGTAA